AAAAATAAATAATAATAAAAGCGGTTTAAATCTAATAAAAGCACACAAGTTATAACATGTATTTAAAATCAGATATTTGGCCATTATAACAATTTAAGTGACCGTGCTAGAACCACGGGACTCGGGGGTGCCTAACACCTTCCCTCGGGTCAACAGAATTCCTTACTTAGAATTTCTGGTTCGCAGACTTCATTTGGAAAGTCGAAAATTTCCTCGATTTGGGATTCAAGATAAACCGGTGACTTGGGACACCAAAAGCCGAACCTTTCCCAAGTGGCGACTCTGAATTAAATAAATAATCTCATTTCGAATATTGTCACTTAAATTGGAAAAACACCCTCGCGCATTTAACCCTTCGGGGCGGGAGCGCAAAAAGGAGGTGTGACAACCACTCACTCAATCACTAAAATTGTTATTCAATCCAGCTAAAATCAAAGTCCAATAATATGATTATATTATACTACGATTCTAAATAATAACTAAATTATCAAGTGACGAGTTGATTGTTGTGTATTCAGTAGAGACAAGTATTCCTGGGTTGTGATCGATTCACCATTCGTATTGTGTTCTAATTAACTCTCTCTTTCATATAATTCACTTATGATTGCTAGTTAATCGATAAATACTCTCATAGCCTTCTCCCGAAGTACTACTCACCTATTCTCAATAGATTAATGCTTATATTCCTATGAAATCAATCTATTAAGAACGCATTAAGATCACGATGTTTAATTAAGCACGGTGACTAGGTATATTCCTATCCTAACCACAAATCCGCTCCCCTAAGGGTTAAGATCGCGCTCTCTTCAATTCTTCTCTTATCTAAACATGGCTTTCCCAAGCATAGCATAAATAGTAAATAGAACCAAACTGCTGGCCAGACAATTAAACAATTAAACACAGAATTGAAGAAACAACCATATATTGGTGAATTATAATTAAGGTCAAGCTAATATCAAACAACAATATTCATGGCTAAATCACAACCCCAAAACAATGGGTGTTTCACTACTAGAAATACACACTTTTCCCACAGACGAATCGGTGAAAAATCTGTGTGAAATTTCAATATTCCTAGGGGAGACTCTCGGTGGGGAAATGGCTAGCGGAAAAATAATTTCCCACGACATTCGTGGGTAATTCCCAGGGAGTTTTCCACTGAGGGTTTGGTGGGGTCACCCAGTGTAATTTCCCACGACGTTCGTGGGAAACGTAAGAAAATAAAATAATTTAATTTTCTTAAGTTTCCCACCGAATCCGTGGGAAATATTACAAATTATTTAGATATTTTTTTTATTTTACCCATGGAAGCAAGAAATATTCATAACATCTGGAAAAAAATGCACAAAATTCTCACGGAGTCGGTGGAAATCCATGGGAAATCTGAAAAATATTTTCATGGCCAAATTTATTTTTAGAACTACACCACGCCAAACAAAAAGTACAACCAATAATACAAGACTAAATACAATTAAATATTCAAATATCAAATTCAACATGCAATCCAATTTATTTCATAAACTACAACTAATCAATCCATTTCATAATTAATCCAACTAATCCAAAAGTAGAACAAAAACTCAAAAAATCCAACATCCAAGTACCATCCAAGACAAGCTAATAAAAGAAACTACTCCTAGTCCTTAATTATCATTAAATGCTGGAGAACGAGGCACATGAAATGCACCAAATGCTAAGACGGAGTTTATCTGAGACTTGAGACTTTTAACATCACTAGTGACAAGTCTTAATGCATCGTCCTTTTGCCTCATTTCTTCCTCCCTTCGCCTTTCCCCTTCCTCTCTTCGCCTATCTTCTTCCTCCCTCCGCTTTCCATCTTCCCTTTCTTGAAGATACAACTCAGTAATCTTCGCTACCTTCCTATTCAATTCCTCAAACTCATCCAGATCAACCGAGCAATGTGAGAAAGAATAAAAACCAGACAATCCTTGATCACACCACCAACTGCCTTAATCCGCATGTCCATGATCTCCTCTTGGGATGGTTGGATTGGCCTACCTTGATCATCAATCGGTTGACTTTGAATGAACTTCTCCAAGCTTCGTTTGAAAGTATCCTATAAAAATTACAATTATTATAAAATTGCAGCTATGTATGCACATGAAACAGCTTTTACATTTAAAAAGAATTAACTTTCAGGATAACTTGATACATAAAAAACAAAAAAAAGAAAATCAACCTTTTGATCATATCATAATTCAACAATTAAACACAAAGAATATTCAAGCTATGGCCGGCNTATAAGTCTGTTCTCAAACTCAGTATTTGTATAACCCAATTTAGCTTCTCTTGCCTTTGGAATCATTTTCGCACCAAACACATCCCCATTGTTCAATGAGTTTACATTTCCAGCCAACTTAATCAATTTTATTGCTAAAGATCTTCAGCATCAATAATGTGCATGCTGGAAAAAAAAAATAAGCTTGTACAACTTTCTATAGGCTTATAGGCTAGATAGATAAAAAATAATGCAAGTAAAGCTTGTATTAGATGTTGAAATTATTTTTCTGTAACATAAAATGACGTAAAAGAGATGATCCAGTAGATTTAAGCAGCAATAAAATATTTTCCAGAGAAACACACATTATATAAGATCATGCTACTTCATCTGAAACAAGAGACCTGCTTTATAAATTAGAAATGAGATTCCACACCTTCAGAGAGCTTTGCGCTTTAGTTCTATTCTTTCCAGACTTAACTAGCAGCCAGAAACAAGTATTGTACTGATTGTTTATGTGAAACAAAAGGGAAACAGAGAAATTCTGGCCAGAAACTAGGCACACCCATATCAAAGAAGCAGCATTATCAATCAATCCAGAACAGAGAAAAATTGGCTAAAGTATCAAAAGTACATCTTTAGCAATAAAATTAACTCTAAAATACCTTCGCAGCTATATTCCTAGAACTTCATACAAAAAAAGAGATTGTTCTTTGGTTGCGGTTGGTGGCACTTTTATAAAGATGGAGATCTTCTAATATCCACAAATTCCACAATGCACGCTCGCAAAAAGGGCCACATTAAAGAGAATAAGGAGCATACACAGGGATTCCTTTAACTCTTCACTGTCTAGAATAATAAAATAAAAAGTAAATGGATGTTTTTACATACAATTTCATAGCACATAACAGTCAGACTCAGAATGTTTCAATCGGGTCAAGTATAAATATAGTAGTGTTAAGGCTGACTTACCAAAGAGCATTCGAGAGATTTAACTCACAGTGCATAGAAGCTCTGTTTTCCATTTCAATTGCAATATTCTGATGCATATAAGTTTAGTATTGCTCAACAATATTCTGATACAAACGGAGAGAGTAACAAGAACAGGAAAGTAGCAAGGTCATTATGTAACTTCACCAAAAGGGTGGTTCAGTAATTGGAAAAATGTTTCATTAGAGTTATCATTGGCAGTGGAGAAAGACAGAGAAGGGCAAAACCAACCATTAAAACTCCCTACAGCTCTCAGCATTCACCACAACCTTAGACTTAAAACTAATGAGACTTTCACAGTTTTTGGAGCTCTTTGCATTTTGAAAAGCTCATTAATAAGGTACCAACAAATAATCTAGTTTAAAATAAAGCTCATTAATCTTACATGGGTTGTCTCAGTGCGCGGTTCGACCCTAGTCTTGATTTTCCATCCTTCAACTTCTTCATGTGGGTTTCCTCAAATACCTCATCATGAGTAACTAGTCTTCCTTTAGCCTTTCCCTGAAAAATAAATAATATCTTAAGATATGATAACTAAAATAGTTACAAATCAAGAAAAATATAATAAAGACATTATCAATCTTCTTCTATGAGCCGCCATACTAATTGAACCGCCTGTGTGCACTGAGCCACCCTTGTCGGACAAACGGGCTGCCCTTCCCTGGGCACTCTTTTTTTCAAATTCCGGAGAGTTCCAATACTCAAGAAGTTTAACCCAAGTCAAATCAACACATTAATGAACAAAATTCCAAGTCCTTCAAAGCATAAGCACCATATAAATGAACAAAATTCCAAGTCACAAAAGCATAGTACAAGTCACAGCACATGTAAAAAATTCCAGATTTTAACAAAAGTACAAACTTCTCGCAAAAACTTGTGCCACAAAGAAAATCAACAAAATTCCTATTCTATAATCTAGAGTGCTTAAGTTTTCAATGAAATGCTTAGTACAAATATTTAGCCTACACAAAAATAATTTCCAGTATATGGGTACAAAGTAAAAACAACCTAATACTGCACGAAAAATAGGGAAACTTACTGAAACAGAAACGACAAGAAAGGAAGAATGCTAACTCTGTTTATTGAAATACCTCCTTTTATATAAGCAAGTTCTTTTCTACTCCACCAAAAGCTCTCCTATTACTCTTATTCCAAACAACCCACATGAGTGCTGGTGGGGCAACTAATTAGTAGACTTATACTTGCAGGATAGACAAATTACTAAATTAAGTTTGGACTTTAAATTAAATCCACACTCATTCCCAACCACCACATCTCAATTCAATGCATATAAAATTAGCATCCAACAGCTAACCAAAAATAAAGCATCCAACTTTATTTTGTACAAGGCATACAACTCCGGAAATCATCAATAAAGTGAAATTACATTAATTATAAAGGGCTGTAAGTGAAGAATTAATATAGGGACATACTCTGCAGATTTAGATTTTTAATAAGTCAAACTACAAGGTAATAAGTGTAGTATTCAACAATATCATTTGCTTATCCCTACTTAGCAATTTAGCAAACTATTTATGCACCAAACTTCTAAACGAAATGTAAGTTTCACAGTTGAAGAGAAATTCACAAGAATAGCAAAACAAATTAAGAAAATACAACCACATACCTCTAAGATTTTAAAAGAAAAAAGCTGGGACTTGCTCAGTTTTGTTTTAAAGATAAGTTCCTAGTTCATACTTCATATAAATGAAGAAAAAGAGAAGCCAAAAAAGCTCAAATTTCAAAACTTGATCCCAAATAGACGGCCATCTCAAAAAAATGAAGGATGGGCAGTGCCATTGGGCGGTGAGCATAGTGTATAGGAAAGAATTAAAATGGGTACACCGGGATTCAATAATTTAGCTGGAGCTTTGGCTGGAGCTTCGTAAGAGCATTCCGCTTCGTGTACAGCCAAATTTAGCATACTGAAATTCCCAACTGATGTATTCAGTATCTTATATTACTGGTGACGCCGGAGAAAGCTATCCTATTTCCTTAACTTACGGACAAATAGTAGTAATCTCTACTCTCTCAAGACCCAATTTGTTTGGAATAGATTGAGGGGACACAGGTTTAAAAGTAAAAGAAAGAGAAAGAGAGATTAACTTACCTACTCGTCGGAGTGAAGGGATTCCCGAAATCGCAAGTTTGCTGGGTGAAATTACTGTTTAAGTTTACAGAGAAGAGAATTGAGAGAAGAGAATTGAGAGAAGAGAACAAAGAATTTTCTGAATGAGAGAAGCGGCTGTGACCTAATTAGAATGTGGAAAATCCTTCTTATCAAAAAATAAAAGATATACTAATATTTACTTTCCCAGAGAATGCGTACTGGGAACTTCTTTTTTTATTTTATTTCTAATTATTTTTCCACTGAAATAAGTGGGAAACAAATTTCCCGGTTTTAGGCGCTAAACAGTTCCCACCAAGAATCTGTGAAAACTATTGAAACTTTGGTAAAATTTTCGTGTCCCCACTTTTCCACCGATTTTGTCAAATTTTTTGTGGGAATTACCATTGATATATTTTGGTGGGAAATATCCGTGGGAATTTTGCAGTATTCTAGTAGTTTTAGCCACTTATTTATGTAATCAAATAATTTCATAAGTTTTGAATAATTGAAAATACTAGAAAAGATGAAGAAATCTAAGATGCTCTTGCTCCCCGATGTTTCTTGTGTGTATTTTTCCACCTAAGTATGTCTCTCCCTTCAAAAATAGGCTTAGTCTTTCTTTTATATGTGTTGGATAGGTCTAGGGTCAAATAAACTATGTCCCGGGCAAAATAGGATGAAAACCACGTCAGCGGCGCCCAGTCCGGCGCCAGGCGCCCACCAGGGCGCTGGCCAAATTGTCAGTACTGTCTCTAGCGCCACAGGCGCATTTTCCCGGTTTTGTTCGTTTTAGCTCAAATCTTGTGCGTTTCGCCCCCAATTGCTCTCAAATAATTCCTACAAGTAAAAACACTTCAAATTAATATAAATCATAGCATTTAACATCTCAAATTCACGAAACAAAAGTAAAATATGAGGTGATATACATAGAAATATATATACTTTAAGCTAAACATCAACAGCCCATACTTAGACTCTTGCCCGTCCTCGAGCAATGGGACTATCTAATAAATCCTCAACTACGTACAAGTCTCAATCATAGAGGATCACCTTAACTTTTAACCACACACTATACCCTTGACTACGTACAATACCGGCACACAAGCATGAACACACAAAATTTCACATTCTTCCCATTTAAGAATACCCATGTATAATATTTCAATTCAAGAAATTCCAACAACCTATTCGTCACCACCTAACCTCAAAAGTCGACTTGCAACCACTAAGCACCCTCAATTCATGCACTTACCCAACAAGAAAGTTTACAACATTACCAATCATTCATGAGATCATGTGCCCTCACCAACAAACAAAAGAGTGAATATAAATTGGTCCACACATTCAAATATGCTTTTGAATATGGATTAAGGACATCACACAATTGAACAAAATTCACTCACTCTTACAAAGAATTCATATGCATCCCGTGGCCGTACCATAAGCTTGCCCGTAGTGTATATCTCTACTAATTTAGACTAGCCAAATTTAGGATCAATTAGGACTTTAAGGTTGTAATGTAGGCTAAGGGACGAGTATGATACATTTAGAAATAGTGGCTAACCCTCCTAAGCACTTTAATACACTCCATTTACGATTCAAGCACATATTCTTCTCAACCAAATCACTTGCCATATACATAACAGCCCTCTTTTCAATGAAGCACTTCTATATTTTCACTATCACAAATCAATAAGAATTGGAGGTGTTTATTTTTCTACATACTTTCATTATCATTTTTCTTTTCTTTCATTTTTTTTCCTTTTCTCTTTGTTTTTTTCTTTCTTCACACACTCCATACATTAAAGTTCATCGGCTAGTAACCTTTGATTTCAACTTTAGTGCACCAACGGGCCCTTCCATGGTTCCACTCAAAAGCTACTCCCCAATCTCTAACCTTACTTCTTTTAGCGACTAAGTGTCTTAGGAGGTAAAGGTTCAATAAATATCAAATTAAGAACAAAATAGGGGTATGGCTTGTGATGTGGTTGCCAAAGAAAAGGTTTATAGGCTCAAATGGGCTAGCTACGGAAAATTTTATTTTCTTATGTGACAAGCACATCTATGATCAAACAAGAAAATACCTATGTCATCTCCTAGATTAGCACAACTTACAATTTCGATTCAATTAACACACGGGACGAGTTCTAGACTACACAGGATAGCACAGAAAATCACAAATCCTCACACACACGTTGCACATGACTCAATTAAGACGGTTCTGTTCAACTCTCAAGTCAAGCAAGCACACATAATTGAAAAATTTAAGCAATATTGCACTATGTGGCATACGAGTCAAACAACTGAAAAAAATGTCACAAAATAGGCAATTTCCTTTACTTAGCCTTCACAATTCAAACCAAATATACGGGAAAACAGAATGTATGTCATAGCCTAATGTGCCAGCATCAACCATGTCAATGAGTATTTCAGAGTGACTCGGTTTCTTCCTAAACTACTCCTAAAAAATAAATAAAGTACCCGATTAGAGCTACACCCTTAGAAAAGAACCGACACCCAAAGAAAAACCAAGAGATACTACCTAACTATCCTAAACACAAAAAATCTTTTTGGTATTTTTAATCGGACTTTATCCCTCAAGAAATTATCCAATAGATCCCTCGTTGGAAAAAATCCGAGTTTTTTCTATTTTTTTTCTTTTTTTCGTTTCTTAACTAATATTGTTTTTTATACAATTACATTTCAGAAAGTAGTTTTCCTACCCCATACTTATATTATGCATAGTCCTCGATGTATGATCCCAAAAAAAGGGTGAGAAACACTCCCTGAGACCCTCTCGGGCCTAGCTCGGACATGATCCTCAATATTAAGAGTTGGGACGACCCCACACTTAAGCTCAAACATGCTCCTCAGCTTCAACTTTGGGTACTCAGACTTCTCCTACTCTGCAAAATAAAAACAACATAAAACTTGACACTAAAAAAATAATCAATAAATAAATTTTGCACGCTCTCGGAAGGTTTCCTCTTTCATCTCTGGCTCTTTTCTCAATCATCGTTACACGCTCAGCTAGAAACACCACCTCCTCTAACTTAGTTGTCCCATCTGGATCACTATAATTCACATACTGACTCTACTCTATTCCCTTCAATTCGACCACAGTAATCATGCACAAGTCCTCATAATGCTTAGGGAGCTTAAGTGTCTTGTACACATTAAATGTGACCTCTTCATCGTCAACTCTAATTTTTAACTTCCCTTCCCTCACATCAATAATTGCTCCACCGGTAGCTAAGAATGGTCGCCCCAAAATAATGGACACTTCCTCATCTGCCTCGTAATCAAGAACAATAAAATCAGCAGGAAGAATAAACTTTCCCACTCGAACTAACACATCCACAATAATTCCTTCTGGCATGACTAGTGACCTATCTGCTAACTGTAAAGTGATTGTAGTAGGTCTAAGCACCCCCAATCTGAGTTGCTTGAACAAATAGGATAGCATCAAATTTATACTAGCCCCTAAATCACACAGCGCTCTACCAACTTCTTATTTTCCAAGAGATAAAGGAATTGTGAAACTCCCAGGGTCCTTCAACTTAGGAGGAAGTTTACTCTGAACTCTGGCAATGCACTCTTCAGTAAGTGCAAATGTTTCGAACTCTTCATGTCTTCGTTTGTTTGTCATAATATCTCTGAGATACTTTGCATACTTTGGCACTTCCTGCAAAATTTCCACCAAAGGCAAATTCACACTCACTTGGCTAAAAATATCTAGGAATTTCTTGTACTTAGCATCATCTTTGTGCTTCTGCAGTCTTTATGAAAGCAGAGGTGGTGGCCTAGTCTCAATTACTATCTCGGGTCCTTTATCATCTTTCTTATTACCCTCAACTGGCTTGGGAACTAATTCTCCTTCAGGATGAGCTGTATTCTTCTTTTTCTTTGGAACTTCTTCTAATGCTCTTCCATTTCTCAAGGTAACCGCATTGACTTGAGCTTTAGGATGGGGCTCAGTGTCACTAGGAAGAGCCCCTACTGGTCTGGTATTTTGGGCACTGGCAAGTTGGCCCAAGTGGTGCTCCAAATTTCTCAGTGTTGTAGCTTGAACCTGCTGATAAGCCATTATTTTTTGATTGAAAGTTTATTGATCTGCTATTAATTTCTGATGGAAAGTTTGTTGATCTGCTATTAATTTCTGAGTGAGGGCTTGCTGGTCGGCCATCAATTTCTTCATCATCTCCTCAAGGCTAGCTTGTTGTTCAGCCTGATGTGGTCTGTATTGTGGTTGAGGTGCTTGAGGCCGGTATTGATTTTGATTGCTTTGATTTCCACCCCAGGAGAAGTTTGGATGATTCCTCCAGTTGGGGTTGTAAGTGTCCCCATACTGATTAGTTTGGCCTCGATTTGCTTTACCCACAAAATATATAAACTCTGGATTTGCTGGGCATATATTGCTCATGTGACCCCCTCCACATACTTAACAAAATATTTGAACTTGTTGCACTGGCTGGGCTTGTTGCTTGTTAATGATCATGGTCATTTGATTGACTTGGTTGGTCAGCGTAGAGACCTGTGCTGACAATGCTGAGACAACATCTAATTCAAGAACCCCTGGTGATTTTTGTACCATGCTTCTACCCTTCTCTCCTTGCCAATCTGGATTGCTCTTGGAGAATTTGTTCAATAATGCATAAATTTCATCAAAGCTTTTCTCCAATACTTGACCTCCAACTGCCACATCGACTGCAGTTTTTGTTTGGGGATGGAGCCCTTCTATGAAAGTGTGAACTAACACTTCATTCGTTTGATTGTGATGGGGACAGTCTCTGAGTAGCCCCTTGAACCTTTCCCAAGCTGAGTATAAAGATTCTCCTGCTTTCTGTTTGAAGGCAACTATCTCACTTCTGATCTTTGCAGTTTTGCCTGAAGGGAAGAACCTTGCCAAAAATTTTCTTGCCAAATCATTCCATGATGTAATGGAATTAGTTGGTTCTGCCTTTAGCCATCGCTTAGCTTCTCCCAACAGAGAGAATGGAAAAAGTGTGAGCCTCACATAATCTGGAGTGACCCCGTTAGTGATATAAGTATCACTAATCTCCAAGAAGTTCAGAATATGTTGCTGTGGATCCTCATGTGGAAGACCTATAAACTGCCCGTTTGCATGAAGTAGCTGGATCATGCTCTGTTTCAACTCAAAGTGCCCA